ATAAATTATACATACAGAATTATAATAAACAGGGAAAGAGCGGGAAAGGTCAGTATTAAATATATAGATATGCCTCGTACGAATCCTAAGCTAAATGTAGGGCCTGCAGAGGATCGCATTCGGCGTATCTTTTACTTATCTAAGTTTAATATAGTAGCAATGATAAATATTTTTTACTTAGAAAATTCTACACTGAATTTGCTATAAAACGTAGTATAATACGAGTAAAATGATAAAACAGGTCGTAAGCATGATGAAACCTCACTTGAATAAAAACTAATTTTTCAACGTCAATGTGCGCTCGGCGGCTTCGTATCATTATCTATATAACTTCTTAGAAAAAACATCCAGTGCATATATAAGAGATATAGGTATATAATATATATCTTTTATGATCGTAATAATGCATAATAATATATATATTATATGTAACGTACATATATGTATATATCTATATATGTATATGTTAACAAATAAATTCTCTTAAATCTCGTACGTTCACGATATGTATACGATCTTTAGTCGTTACAGCTTCGTCAAGCCTTAAATCGACTTAATTAATCAGTTTATCTTACAAGTAGACTTGGGCGTATAAATGATATGTGTACGGATGTATGTGGTATTGTTGCGCGCCTTTGCCTGCGCATTCGAAAAAGAAAATCTTCACTCGAGCGAATGAGACATTAACATTGTATTAATTATATTTCTTCTGGATCATCGACGTAATCATATTGCATCAAATTAAAACAAATAAATCCTTATGCAGCATACAAAAAAAAATATAAATGTAAAGCACCATCACGCTATTGCTTGTTTTGTTTAATAGTCCATTTTAGTTTTAAATTATTGCGTGATACCTTGGTGCCCCAAAAGTGACTTCTGTCTTTATTTCACATTAAAATATTAAAATATTTTAATTTTGAAATACTCGCTGAAAATTATTTTTATTATTCGTAAAAGAAAAAAATCCTAACTTTTGAAGAATAATACTTTTGACGAAACTAATGCATAGGATGTTACTAATTGAATCTTGCTAACCGCTATTTTACATAATGAAACGAAGTAGGGTAATTGAAGGCCTGAAGTACTTTCTAAAATTGATAGCTTCGAAATTCTCTTTCGAAAAGCACGGCTTGGCGCGTTATATAACGCGTGTCCTTAATATTTCGCCACGCAACATGTTCATCTTATAATAATGCCTTAGGCTTAAACTCTACCTTATTCTTATTATATGTATCGAATAGCAAAACACATGTTACTTTCTGCATTAGCACTGTGATCAGCACTACGTCCCGTGAACTGCGCCTCTATGATCGATCTTCCGCACGATATGCCTCCGTGTTCGTTGCTCGATGCATCCTTGGATGCATTCGAAGGTTTCTCGATGCGAAGCACGTTTAGCATATATTTTCGTACGTCACGATCTTTCCGACATAACCACAAATTATCCTAGTTTATTAAGCAGAAGAGAGAAATTTTGTACACAATTAAGGAATTGCGCGGGTGTGATCGTTTGCATTTCGTGCCGCAAATATGTGCGTTGCACGTGCTTCCTTTTGCGAGATGATGTAATCTTAGGGTACACGTCAGCTGTAGCGACGGTGAAGTAACCGAGTCGTAAAACGGGCGCAACGAGGCATTTGAATAACCGCGTTTGTGCTCTACCGGCTTTGACAAGTGTCGGTTTCCTGTTGGGAGTATTACGTGTCATCAGCACAGTCATTATTTCATTTCGAGCGGTCGGGTCTTTGCGAATCGAGTTAGTTAAGTATCGAGGCGATCTCAAGATGTTAGCCGCTACCGCGCAGGGACAGAAAAGCTTCTAGCAGAAAAGTTGGCAAAAGACGGGTGTCAGAAACATTGTCCTCTTTTGACTTTCCATTTTAATTGAATAATTCAATTACTTTTTAATCATTGTGGCTTGAACAAGAGTTTATTTACGCCAAAAATAATTTAAGCGGGAAGATTCAATAATCTGTTTCCCGAAAATTTTTAAGTAAAAAATCATAACTAGTGTTTTTTCAAAGTCTCGGAAGATCATGACGTACGGAAAAAATGCGAGCATTACGAGGGATGTCGACGATTCGCGGCACTGCGTTCAACGGGAACGTATTGATATGTATATGACGAGTGGCCCGGTGGTATCGGCCGACTTCCGACGACTGACTTCCGGCCACTCGAATCCGCTACGCTATACTACGCCTCGCGCCGCGAGTTTAACAAATAACCACGAAATAATTGGCAACGATGCTGATATGTAACGTTTCGGTGAAGAAAACTCGTGCATTCTTTTCACGAGCGAGAATTCTTCGGTCCACCGGACGATCGTGCGATCGACGTTCGATCTTAGCAACCACTCAGACCCTATACTATCGAACTGTACAAGTGAACAACATATCTCGTTGCCAAATAACTACTTTGTATTGCGTGAGAGAAGTCTCATTGACGAGTTATCAAGCAGCATGAATCGTAGTTTATTTACTACGGTTGCGGTGGGCGTCTACAATTCGATCGTAAAGCATCTGAGAGTTCCACAAATAACAATGATTTTATCAGAAATAAATCCGCCGTCGTAGCAAGTATAACTCTTACGCGCCGCTTGTTACGCTGATGTCTGTGCGGCCGTGCAACGTCTATGATTATCATTTCGACACGCGGCAATTGCAAAGAATTGCTCGTGGCACTTACCGATCGGCGATCTAGCTTGCCGCGATGCGATTGATTTTTTAAGCATGACTAGCCTACTCTCGCAAATTCTACTCCGCGGGGGGCTTGATTGACTGGAGCAAATAAATTTATCGCTGGATTGCAATTACCGCGAAAATTAATTGATTCACATTACGAGTATCGAATAATAATTTAGAGACAGCGCCAAAGAATTTCAAGAATGCCAATTCGATTAAAATCCAAATATTCCGGCAAACTGTCTTGCAGGCAATAGAATAGATAACCGCGCGTGTATGAAAAATTGATTGAATCCAATGTCCGATGAAGGAACTTCCGATGATTGGACAGAGAGCAAAAATATCGCGAAAGCGTCCGGCGAGTATCCGAAAGAATTTTAAATATTTAGTTCTCAAAAGATCGATTGTCATGCTACGCGATTGCTCATGCGCGATCGCCTTGCATGGACGCGTCTGCACAAAAAAAGCAGTTATCCGCCTGATACATCTTTCCGCGCACGAAACAGACACCTGTCCTCGATGGGAAATAAAAAAGCGGCTCTTCGGAGGAATTTATCATTCCTCCCTCGTTTCGAATCATAGCAATTCGTGTAATAACGCCCAGATGCCCGAGATTGAGGAGATTCTCACTGGTGTTCGATAAAATCTGCTAAGATCCGCGTACTCGATCGATCGTAACAAACTGACATCGCGATAGTGCGCCGACTTTTTGCGTCGCAGCCGTCTTATGTCATTTTTATGACGAGCCATGTCTACCGTGAATATATCAAATTATAGCGCGACGAGATGCGCAATAAAGTTTCATTTCATTCTCTGCAGAAGGCTGGGCTCTACGTCAGCGGGCAAGTTTATCGCGGAATCGTGACGCGTCTCCGCTATCGCGTCACGATTACCCCGAAAAAAAAACCAGGAAGGAACGTTTCTTCGCCGTAACAAGCTCTTTGCAGGATTGAATAATGAAACCGAAAGTTCGTCGTGATTTCCAACAATTATAATGGCGCTCAATGAAAAGATCGATTGTAAATAGAATCGTTTGATCGTCCCGCTGGTATCGAGACGAAAAGTCGATGATATTTCAATCACGAAGTCGCGCGCCCCTCGGCGCGCTTACGCTAGAACGGCAGCGAGAACGATCAACGGTAGTGACGCGTCGACGTATATTTTGCACCCGGTAGCCGCCGACGAGACTCTCCCGGCATTCTTGCCGGCCACGCAGCCCATCCTCTCGAGCGGTATATTTTGCACCGAGTACTCACGATGCTCTGAGGGCATCGTGCAGACCGTCCGCTTCTTTGACATCATCTCGTCGTCCTTGTCGCGCAAACTCCCGAGCCACACGGAGTACCATCGCAGCTCGCAGTCGCAAATCAGAGGGTTATCTACGCGCGAAAGAAAGAAAAACGGAACGAAAGAGAGAAATGAGACAAAATAAGTAAAATTGAATGTAACTTCCACCGAAACGGAATTTCTAAGTTTTCGTTAAAACTACAAGTTTTTATAAAAGAAGTCAATAAACGCACTTATATTTGTGCAGTATTAAGTATTAATTATTTGAGAAATAATTAAAAACGAGTTTTGAGATATATCTCATTCGTGTGTTTTGGCATTAAACATTTAATGGTGCAATTTAGATGGAAAGGAAGTTATCGGGATTTTGCAGTTATCGTATGTTTGATTGAAGAAAATAATCTTATAATTAATGTTAATATTAGAAAGGAGAAATTATTAAATACGTTACCTGTTATATCGATGTGGCGTAGAGTGTCAACGATGGTCTCCGTAACTTCTTCTGGGATATGTGTGAGTTTGTTATTTTGCAAACTCAAAGTTTCTAACGAATTGAGGTTCTCAAATACCAGAGGCGGGAGCACTTTAATCCTGAAAAAGAGAGTAAAGTAACGTAGAGCGCTTGACGTATGCCAAAAAAAGTTTTTTGATGGATTTGTCATTGATTAATGAACCATCAGTTAGTTGCTTTCAAATTGCAAAAAATAAGCTTATGCGCAGAACCAACTTATGTATACGTGACTTTAATTCTTATAGCATACGGAAGAAAGATATTACAAATTTTTCTGTAGATTAAGGAAAGTGATGGAATCTCCGTAACCCGTGAATGCGTCCTCCGGAAGTACAGTGATGTTATTTGACCGCAAATCAAGATGACGTAAGCGATGTAAACGCCGTAGAGCGTCGCTTGGTACTGAATGTAAATTATTATCTCCCAGTCGTAAATACTGCAGATTTTCTGAAATAAAAGATTGAAGATTACAGGATAGAAAAAAAAAGAAATATATTTTGTTATTTAAAATGCGTAAACAAAATCGAGAACTTCAAAATCTTTTTTCTTCTCGTTAAATTTCCACGGCTATTAATTTCTATGCAAGAGTTAATTGATTCTCCCGCTTGACTGTAGAAGTAACGTAATTAAAACAATTGCACAAAAGTATAAAATATGTATATTTGAACGCGAGTGGCAGCAATCTGGCTCACAAGATAGAAAAAAACTTCGTTACGTGAAGAGCATTAACAATAACTCTCAAGAGTTGTTTCATACGCTCAAACAATTTTTTTTCAACCGACTTGTAGTTAGTTATAATCAAGTCAAGTTTCTCGTAGAGTGGCGAATAAATACTTTATCGATCAGGAAGAATTTACGCAAGAATGGATTCAACACTTTGTTCGAAAACTTTAATTAGATCGATCAACATTGCGAAATTGAATGCAATTAAACTGTTTTAAAATTTATTTTTAATATAAACAATATTATTTATTATAAATTTATTATAAATTTTTATAAGAAATTTAAGAGAAAAATATGATAGCGATATTATTTTTGACAATTGAATATTTCGATATTGCTTTATCAAAATCGAGAAATATCGATATTTTGCGTATATTTGTTCACAATACCATTTTGTGTGTCCGATTTATTCATTTGTCTTGTCGATCGCACACGGTATTGCTCGACTAAATCGTTGAAAGCGGCGATGTTGTTCGTTCATATGAAATAACGCTTTGTTGAAATACTATCTTGATAGGCGAGCTTGCGTTCATGGGATGCAACGAGATGAAGGGTAGTTTGTAAAGTGTCGTTCGCTCGTTTATATCCACGCCCAAAGGGAACCGATTGCATGCAGCCGTGGCACGCGGTAAATTTAAATGCTAAGCAGCTGTGGCGTTCGCAACGATAAATAAAGTAGAACGTGATGTACAAAGACTGGAAGAATTTCACGGTAAACTGAACACAAGCCGCGCGAATTCCGCGGTAGCATCGGAATCGAGCATCTGCCTCGATGCTGTATACACAAGTTCAAACTATAAATATACGTCAAATGACGTTAATGTCACATCTTTCTTACATATTATTGATAAAATCACTTTTATCACAGTTTGTTACATGAGCTATCGTTTTTAAATATTCTATTTTAGAACATATGTAATAAAAAATAAAAACTTTTTTTTTAAATTTAAGTGTTTGCTGTACTTGTGTATACATCGATCGCACATCGTGGTTATAAAAATCGAAATAAAGAGCTTTGATTGCACTTACCCTCAAGACCGATGAATGCATTAGGATCCACGTGAGTAATTTGATTTCCGTCGAGTTCCAAAGAGTTTAATTGCGTTAAGTGGGAGAATACACGCGCCGGGACCTCTCGGAGATGATTGTGTGCCAATCCTAACGAATCAAGTGCTTTCAATCCTGAAAAGATAAAATGTTTTATCGATGAAGCCATTTTATTCAATATCCGTTACACGTCCTTTCATTAAAAGCATGTTATTTGGATATATCGATAATTGACTTAAAAAGCTGGTTTCATAAAAATTACAATTGTTCTGTTGTAAAAAATATCGTTAGTTGATTAATTAAAAATGAGTTATATATGTATTTTTAAAATAGCATTTATTTTAGAATAAATTTTTAGAGGTGTTAAAAATAGGACATGTTTTATACGCAAAATATTGAAATATTATCGAAATGATTTACCTTCGAAGTCTCCTTCTTCTATACTTGATATGCGATTTTCTTGCATTTCTAGTTTCTTCAACAATTCTAACGAATTTAATGCCTGAGTTGGAATCTTCGTAAGCTCGTTTCCGCCTAAATTAAGCCTCTTGAGTTTGCGGCTGTAAAGGCGAGATTGAAAACCATCCTTTAGTGGTAGACTAGAATATTTTGTCACTCATTTATAGTTATTTATTCATTTATTCGTTCATTTAATCAGCGTACTATCTTATAACGATCTAAGATTTTTATGTTCTATACGTTCTAAATTAGCTAGTAGCTAAATAAATTATTTTTCAAGCTTCTTTTTTTTCAATTTTGAATAAAAGAATTCTTTGACTCCGCTTTGATCTTCTAAAAATCCTGCAATGTGCAGTAAAAGCGACTTACTTATCAAGTCCTTTGAACGCATCCGGCTCTATGCTGGAGACCTTGTTCTCGTAAAGGTTGAGGATTTCGAGTGTATCAAGACCTTCAAAAGCCTTGTCGTGAATGACGGTGATTTTGTTATGGTTCAAATTCAAAATCAGGAGATGGTGAAGGTCTCGCAACGCGACAGATGGGACGCTACTCAGCGAATTTTGGGAGAGATCCAGCTGTGTCAATCCGGATCCTGTAAGGTGGTGAATTATTCCAACAGCTATTGTATTTGCAATTGCGCATAAATTTTGCAAGTTCAGTCACGCTTTGTTTGAGGGTTTCCTGTGAATTTAATATAGTAAAACATCGGACATGAATCGTTCCTATTTCGTGTGGATGATGACATTTCAGTGATATAACAAGGATGTAATACAAAAGCAATAAATCTCAAATTCATTATTGTGTCATGTCTTGATACAATTTCCAATTACATGTCATAAATATTTTTTAAAAATGTAGTTACATAAAAAAAGTCATAAAATTGAGCAATATTATAATGTTGAATTGTAAAGTACCAGTTCACGTAAACGCACGCGCGCACGCACACACACACACACACACACACACACACACACACACACACACACACACACACACACACACACACACTGGAGCGAAAATCATTTATAAATTTGACGAGATTGCATTTTATGTTTTGTGAAAATGTTTACCTCGTTGGCTAATGGTACAAAGTTTCAAATCCTTTCTGTTTTATATATAATCAACTCGCTGTAAAACGCAATGTGAACTCAAAGCTCCGGTTGGAAAATGACATTTTCTATGTTTAATGTCCTTTCGACATTGCGAGTTAATGCAACCGAGCGATGTCGCGCCGAAGCATCTCCCAGCGCCGCATTCTCATTAAGGCACCCGTGCGCGGTGACTACCACGCGACGCGATTATCAGCGCGTATCTCGTCGAATACGGCAGGTGTAAAAAGAACGTATTTTCCAGTCCCTTGTAGTAATTTATTCCAAATCTGCGTGGCCGTAAAGGTGACTTGACCTCGGCGCTTCGTAAGAGATTTAAAGGCGGGTTAAATCTGCAAGCGACTTTAACGTGGGCCTCGCGTGACGCAGTGAATGCTTCGATGTTGGCTTTAATATAAAAACTGATCCTAAATCTTCCATGAAAGTCTTTTGACGCTGGAAAGGATAGGTGCTGTTCCGCGTTATAAAAAAATGTTACCGCATGACGCACATGAAGTAGTGCGGAGCTTTTTTCATCACTTCACATACTAGCAGCGACGTGCTTTGAAATTACTGCGTCGAATACTGTTGATATGTAGGCAAGTTTAAATACACGGGAGTTCATATTCTGTTATTCTGCATTATTATTCCTGAATAATCTCAAACATTGTTTGACAAAAAAAATTAACGCATTCCGATAAAATAATTTTAGGTCCGTGAAGTATGCCAAAGTCTGTAACATTTTAGACATGGATTTTTTTGAAGAAATGATTCTTTCTTTTATATGTATATTGTGTTATTATATCTTGAGTTCTTTACCTCTGTACTTCTCCGGTTTTACAGAAATAAAAATAAAAGTAGTACAAAAAAAAAATAAGCTACTTTCTTCTGCAAATCTTGCCATTTTTTAAAAGTTTTTAAGCTTGTCACGTTGAGAGATAGAAATTTATAATCATATTTTTTGTGGAAAGTTATATTAATTTTGAAAAATGTCGTTATAGCTTAAAAATAAGAATGTCAAATCTTGCGATAAAATTAGAAACTATTTATGAGCTTTTAAATTGATATAATTTTGATTTTTCGAACTCATCCCCTTAATTCTTAAATCTCTTAATTGATGCAAAAATAAAAGTATTCGGAAAAGTAAAAAATGTCGTATTTTATATATATCGTATAAATTCCAAAAATAAACTCCTCAAATACGCGTATTTCAATCTCTTTGCAAGAAAATCATTCCACACCTTCCTGGCACAAAAGAGACCTATATTTAAAATGATCAAATAATCAATTTCACGATTATATAAATATTCTTTATCAATTTGTGAACTAACAAAATATTTTTATTGTTGAGCTACAACTTTTTTTATAAAAATATTAATTATTCAATAATCTAATTATAAATTAACATACCATCAAAGTTCAATGGAAAAATATTTATGTTATAATTATTATATGCTAAAGTATTACGTAATATTATGCAACTTTTTATGTTTTTTGTATATGAATTAAATAAACTGTATTGTGCTGTTTTTCTATAAAAAAGAAAAATACGATTTTATTTTATATAGAAAGATCACATATAACAATAAAAATACAATAGATAAATTCATTTTTAAATACAATTACATAGTAAAAATTGTTATTAATTCCAACTTTTTTATGTCTTTTTGTTAGTATTAATTTAAATAAAAAATTTTACGAAAAATGATCAACTAAGGCACGTCAAAGAAAAGTATCAAAAATTTGCAAAATTAATTTAACTTTTTTCTTAAATTTATGAGTTTGCAAAATAGCAACAAATTTTTTAATTGTTTGTGTCTGTCATAAAATACATTTCGGGCAAAATATATTCATGTAAACGGGGTGTAGTCTAATTGAGAAACATATTATATTCTAAAAGTTTCAAAATTAAACTCTGTTACTCTATCGAGAAAGTTATCTCATTTTATAAATATAATTTGTAATTCCATATTACTGTAGAAATATTCGGAGTACTATTCTTGTGCAAGAAGTTGCAATTTAGTAATGCGCATATTTTACGTTCACAAATCGGTAAAGAATATTTAATTGCGAAATATTTAATTTGTTTTATTTTAAGTATAGTTTTTTTTTGTATCAAGAAGATGTAATTTTTTTTGTCTCGAAGAACTTAAAATAATCGGAATGCACTTATTTTGTGAGTTTATTCTTAGAATTTATACGCTATATACGGAATAAGACGTATTTTTACTTTTCCCAATACTTCTGTAATGAGACATGAGTCATGTCAGTTAAGTTGTTTAAGAATTGAAAAAATGAGCTGGGGAAACAAAGAAATGTGAGAGCTAACAGCTCCTAATTATCTCATTTAGATCAATTTAATGTTCTTATTTTTAAGCAGTGGTTAGGCGGTATTTTTCAACGTTGACTCAGCTCTCTCGCCTTCAAAAAAAATTAAATTTCCACTCAGTGTGACGAGTTAAAAGCAGCATTTTTCCGCTATACTTGGTTTTTTATTTCTGCAAGATGGCAAAGAACTAATTAAACAGGCATGATCTCTACATTAACATAGCACAAAGATTCACTGATTAGCCTAGAATTGCTTTAAGAAGCGTTGATATTTTTGTCAAATAGTATATTTTAATAATTTTCAAAGTTAAAAATTTAGATTTTGACATTTAAATTTAAAAAGTTTTAATGTTTTATAATTTAATTGTAGTGATTGCGATAACAATGTTTGCGCTTGGCTGAAAATAACTGTCCATTACGTGATTCTGCTTCTCTGATTTTTGTTACAGTGTACTCTACACTTATGCAACTTATGCTTTAAGACTTTTTTTAAATTTTATTCCTCCTCTCTCTGGTTCTCTAAATATTTGAAGCAGCGAGGCTCAGGATTATGAATAGCAAACTCTATTTTGGAGTCTCTATATAAATCCCTAAGATAATATAAATTGTTGCCTGAGGCCGCGCTGATAACGTTAAAAATAAAAATTAAGTACTTACTTTATCCTTTGTAGAAATGAGTTCGGATATACTTTGTGGCTTTGTTTTAATTTTATGGATTTCTTTTTCGAAAAAAACTGCACGTGAAATTGTGGCAGGTCGCGTTTCTATCTTGTCGTGTTCTTTTGTTTTCTCCGTAAATACCATTCATATGTACTTACCGATAGAACTAAGAGAAGGTTCCTCGAGCACCGCGAGGCTACTATTGTGAATGGTGAGGTGGCGTATGTCTAGCCCGAGGAACACGTATCCCTGTAGCTTGGGCAGGGTGTTGTGCCTAAGCCTAAGGTAGAATATCACGGCGCTCGGTCTTCCCTTTAACACGGCCATGGCCTTGGAGATGTGCGTGAGGTCGGTGCTCTCGCATACGATGTCCAGGCCGGATTTCTTCACGCTGCAGGAACACGGCGTGATCTGACTGTGGGCCGGACAGAGCTGCGACGTTTGCGCTAAGCTCGTCGCTAGAACGAGACAGAGCAACCACACCAGCCGCCACACATCTGACAGACCGCGCACCCTCATTTTTCGGTCTCCACACTTCGCCCCCTCGCGCGACTTCGTCACAATGGCCGACCCTCCCGCACCTTTCGCA